TAAGACCTTCGTTCATCTTCGGAACACAAATTAAGATATTTTTGATGCATTCTGAGAGCTCTCTGACCCTCAATAGAGAGCAATGTAAGTAACACGATCGAAGTCCAGAAGCGTAGCAAGGAGATCGGTAAAATAATCCATGTGACATCAGGGGTTCAACCGTAATTTTACGAAACTACGAGAATACTTTTTGTACGCGAAGAAAACAAAAAATGACTTTATTCAACAATTCGTCTCCTCCGCGTCACCATAGCAACATTTTGGAGAGTGTCCACTGAACGCAAACAGCGTATGCTGTTCTGTGTCAGCCGCACCACATGGATACGTTGTTTTCGTTCAAATCAAAGCGTAAATAAACGTAGAAAACGTATCCGTGTGGTGCGGCTGATTCTTCCACCAAGAATCTGGAGTGCATTTGTGATGGACATCTAACTTTCCCATGAAGCCATGGAATGGCAGTGTGAATGGCAGTAAAGCAACGAAATGAATGTTCGTGAGTCACAGAACAGTAACAATAAGGTGGCTGTAGTAAGTCTGAATTTCATTCATGCTACTCATGTGTAGAACATACTTTTTTAATGGGCGTGAAGTAAGTTTCAAATAAAAATGTAGTACCTATTAGACAGTATGTGATTACAGATGCAACTAATGTTTTTTACTTTTTAGGGGAATCAACCTACAAATGATTTATATTGTCTGCATATCACGATTACAAAGATTTTTAAAATCAGAAAAAAAGCACCATTACTCCTTTATAGCCATATAATAAACTATGTTGATTTTGTTAATAGACTGTCTACAGCTGGAAGAAAACAAGACATGAACCAAAACCTAAACCCAAACTTCCTTAGCTGCCTTGCAAACACTGATATTTCCAACCGGAAATGTAAATCGAGTTGTTTTTGTGCTGTTGGGGTGAACGAGAGGCAAGGGCTATGCTGTTACTTCTTCCTGGTGGGAGTGGGGGACTTCATGCCACGGGGCGGAGCAGAGGATTTGGCATTTTGGGGAGGAGCCGGAGACTTGGCTGCAGCAGGGGCAGGGGTGGCAGACTTGGCAGTGGGAATTACGATGGGAACCGTGGGAGGCATGATCCTCTTGGGTGAGGGTGTGGGTTTGATGTCCGGAACCCTGTCGCCGTGTTTGTACACGCTGACGATGATGTCCACAGACTCGCCGCCGTACTTGTTTTGGACCGTCATGGTGTATTTGCCGGAGTCCTCCAGGGACACGCCTTTGATAGTGAGGCTGGCGAACTTGCCCGAGTCCATGGCAATGACGTACTGATCGCTGGGTTCTACCTCTTGATCATTCTTAGACCAGCTGACCAGAGGTTTGGGGTCACCGCAGACTGTGCAGGTCAGACTCAGAGTCTGAGGAAAAGGAAAAAACAAATGCATAACGCATATTTAATCTAAAAGCATTCTCAGAGGAAGTAGGTTGTCATTATCATGCTACAGGCATAAATATGAGAAACAGCATGACTACGTTAAGCAGATGTACATAATTCTGAATGATAATATGATATTCTGATGGTGCAATGGCAACTAAAAATCCTATGTATCTTTCTTTAACAATTATTATTAGAATACATTTATAAAATATATTTGTATTTAAATATCTTTATTTACACATGTAAAATTTTTTGCATATTATATATGTGACCCTGGACCACAAAAACCAGTCATAAGGGTCAATTTTTTAAATAATTAAGCTTCCCATTTATGTATGGTTTGTTAGGATAGGACAATATTTGGCCGAGATACAACTATTTGAAAATCTGGAATCTGAGGGTGTAAAAAAAAAAAATCACAATATTGAGAAAACCACCTTTAAAGTTGTCCAAATGAAGTTCTTAGCAATGCATATTACTAATCAAAAATTACGTTTTGATATATTTATGGTAGGAAATTTCCTATATATCTTCATGGAACATGATCTTTACTGAATATCTTAATGATTTTTGGCATAAAATAAAATAATTAATAATTAATTATTAATTTTGACCCATATAATGTATTGTTGGCTATTGCTACAACTATACTCGTGCGACTTAAGACCCAGGGTCCAGGGCCATTTCCTTAAATTACCGTATAAATAAAGAAATTAAAAATGTACTGCAGAACATGAATGACCCTTTTAAATAATTTGTACATCTACAACTTCTTGCTGCATTTCTTTACTTTAAGAATTTTACAGTGAGAAACAGATTTCTGTAGAATGTTTTCTGGCCTCTACATGACAACATAAATCTAATTCTGTTTTTAGATGCTGCTTCTATTCTGCCACAGTTGAATTTTTTTTCACAGTAATGGATTTCAACAAAGTGACTCGTTTGGGCTTTTTAGGGAGAAGAGCAGCTCAATGAAAACTCAGATATACAGTACGAAGCCCTGCGGCGGGGAGCTCTCACTGGAAACCCACTGTGTACGTGACCTCAGCAGATCATCATGTGAAAGGTCTCCTCTCCCACATGAGTTCCCCTCATATTTGCTTTAATGGATCCGAGAGCCACTGACCTGCTATGTTTATTTGATCTGAAAGAGAAAAGGATGCCGGGCGTTTCCAGCATCAACTATTCAGGCGAATCCTAATCCCACCAACATCCTTTCACTGGCAGAATACACCATATTCCCCAAACTGGCTTCATGCTGCTTGCAAGCAATGGATTATGAGGCCGAAGACAATGGACATGGATCTCAGGGAGCGGAGGAGTATGACGCCCTCCAGCGCACACTCCCAGGGCTGAAGTGAAGAGCCGCAAAACGGCACTCACCGGCACGACTGCCTGCGGCAATACTGATCACTAATGCATTGGCTACAGCTCTCCATGGGCGACTGAAATGAATGCTCTGGGTGCAATACAAGTTTAGGTCCATTGACAACATTTGAGGCATAATGTTGATTACCACAGAAAAATAATGTTGTCTCATTGCTCAGTTTCTAATAGCAAACAAAAGCCTTGGGTACAGTAAAGCATTTTCAATGGATGTCTATGGGGGCCGATGTTCTGGGGGTTTCTAAGCAGAAACATGAAGTGCATAATTCAGTCACTCTTTAGTTTGGGGAACAGTTATCACTATTATCTATTAACTATGACTTTTGCCTCAGTAAACTCCTAATTTGCTGCTTATTAATTATTAGTAAGGTAGTTGTTAAATTTAGGTGTGAGGTAGGATTAAGGGATCTAAAATATGGTCATGCAGAATAAGGCAATAATATGTGCTAATAAACAGCCAATATGATGAGTAATATGCATGATAATAAGCAACTAGTTAATAGAGAGAATTGGTCCCTAAATTAAAGTCACCCATAATTTTAATCTGGCACTTACAAGAATTATTCAGTAAAATTCAATTATTTACTGTAATTTGCATAAATATATCTAAAACATCCTTTTGATATGTGACTACTTTTCTAGGTAGATTAACTTTTGTTTTACAGTAAGACTTCGTAAGTCACCAGAAGTCTATGGGTCTTCGTAAGTCACCGGACGTCTACGGGACTAATTAGTTAGTAGTTAATTAGTAGTTATTTCAGTTTGCTTTATGTAAAATTTCAGGCTATTCCGTAATGCAAAAATGCCTGGGTTTACTGAGTTTACCAGCTTTACTGGTCTGGTCAAAACATTGCAGTTGAAAGATTGGTTGCAACTTCAGATAGACAAGGTCAGTAAGCTATTATACCACGCTAACCTCAAGCCAAGTTTGGATACACCGTTTGGCAGAGTAAAAGTTTGGACACACTTAGCTGAATTAGTTTCTTATGATCTTAAAAACCTTTTGATCTAAAGGCTATTGCCTAAATTCCTGAAATTAGGTTTATAGACAAATATAAATTGTGCCAACTTCACAAACCCGTTTTTATTGGATGAGTTGGAGCAGATAGTGAGGGAGAAGCAGCCAACAAATGTCCAGCATACATGTGAACTTTGCGAAATTTGTTTAAAAAGAATTCCACCTTCAGTTAGAGAACGTCCAGAATAAGCAGAGCTGGAATCTAGACAAAGGGTGATGACTTTGAAGAAGCTCAAATATTAAATTTGGTAATTTTTTTTGGTCACAACATAATTTCTATTCTTATTTGCGTTGCTCTGTGGTTTTAATTTGTTAGTGTTATAAATAGTGTTATATATACATATTGTTAGTAGATATATATATATATATATATATATATATTGCGGTCTTTTCGACATGATTTTCTTCAAAGAGAAGTCAGATCAGAAAATTAAATTTCTTTATGCATTGTGATCTATTTTTCACTACGTTATGGCTCGCACATAACAAGCTTAAACAAACCTTCTTTTCCATGATAGTCACAACATCAGGAAGACCACCAACCACTTTGCCACGATCTGACAATGAAAACATCACAAAGTTAATTTTAGGAATATAATTATATATCAAAGCAGGACCCCCGAGAGTGTCAGGAGTGATTGAGTATACTCACTCTTTTCAGCATATGCGTCCGCTCTGAAGGGCAAAAGAAGAATAGCAATGTTGAGTTCATTAGCAGACATTAATATTTTACCCAAACACTGATGTACAGCTCACATGCTTTGCAACTCTAAACATTTAGGACGTGGAAAGCCATGTGACCATGACAGCATTTTTTTTCATCCCTGAAATTCCCTAAATACATTTCCTGTGTGTGCAGCTGCAACACTGGCCTTTACTTCCAATTATAAACACGTCTACACAGGATCAACGCCAGAACACGAGTTTGAGTTGACCATCTTTGTTATAACTCTTGTGGTGTAGTGTTTTGGAGTGGAAAAAAAGCCTTTAAAACACTTCACATGACAGTCTTGCCATCACCTCCAGCATTGATGTGTTTTTCTCATTAATGCTGATTCTGGTAGTGAGGTTAAAACAGTTTGAGCTGTTTTTGAAGGATTTCACTTGATACTCAATTAAGTTCAGATGTAATTGGGTTCTTTTTCACAATGCTCCCCTTTAAATGCATCATACCCCCCCATGGTCCAATTATAATGTTTAGTCAAGGTTGTTTTATGCCAAAACAGTTATAACTTAACTTATAACTTATAACTTTCCTGTGACTATTTACAACCTTCTTTCTGAGCATTAAAATTAAACGAGGAGGACGTTTTTTTTTTGTCTAGAAGGTTACAGCATGACCTATTTATGGTCAACTCTTAATACCTTTTGAAATTGTCAGAATTGTCAGTATTTACACAGTTTACTTTTTTTCTGATTGGTTAAAATAAGCTTAATGAAGTGACATAATTGCTGAACATTTTGTTTTTCCTTCATTTAATTGTGTCCAATCTACTTAAATGCGTACATCTGAAGTTTGCTTAATTTGGTTGGTCCTACCAAAATAATTTTTTGTAACTAGGCAGTGGATTTTTAGTTTTGAACACACTTTGCATATGGGCTGGATCAGACGTGTGTTATTTTATGTTTTGACTAAAGGGAAAGACCTGTTAAATGTTCTTGTGGTTACCACTGTGCTGAAGATTGGAGCTTGTAGTTAAGTGAATTAAGTTGATAGTGTATGTTGCTCCATTCAGTAAGCAATAATTGCATTAACATTAATGCAGTGACAAGTAACTTCTTACTTGTTCACTGCAAATGTTTGCTACACTAGCTTCAGAAGGTATTATAAGTGTACAACAACAATTCGTATTAATCAGTTTTTAGAAATAATTACTAGTATAATGTATTGATGAATGTTATCTAGACTTTACCTAATTTATTTAAGTGTGTCATAGCTGGTAAATTTAGGTGTCTTTAGTCAACACATGGGATGAATTGTATAGGTTTGTTTTTACAACTCACGTTGTCCGGAGAGGTCCAGGGTACGAGAATGCGTCTTCTCGGGATCCACAATCTCAATAGTGTACATTCCTTTATCCTTATCAGTCGGTTCTACCATCTCCAAAGTTGCCATTGCTGGGTTGCCACCAATTCTCATCCTTTCTGATGCAGCAATTTTAGAATCCCTTGAAGTACAGAGGAAATGAATGCAAAGAAACCCATTATTATCTGTTCATCACTGAGAGAATGACAAAACCAATGCAATCACATGCATGCTTTTAACATGTTACAACGAAGGCACGTTTAATCCCAATCCCTTTTTAAGCTCAATTGTTTGCTCATTTTCCATAGAGTAAATGGTCTCAAAACGTTAGACATGCCTTTTTTTCAAGTGGGGCATCAAATTAGCATGTCCCTAGTGTAAAATTAGACACGGTGGGTGTTTTTTTTGTGTCGCGACTGAATGTGAAATTTCCCCTGCATTAATACCTGCTCTGCGTGTGATTCAAAATGTGCAACAGGGGGAGGAAAGACCCAGAACAGCCACTTCAAAATGCTAATACAGGGATTTGAGAAGCCATGCGAGCAGGAAGAGGCTTTTCTCACTACGGTAGAATTTCACATGCTACTGAATCACCTCCAGGGCAGAGCATTAGGCAACTGCAATCAGAATGATTTGTTTTGTGTCGACAACAGAGCGAGGAACAAGACAGACTCTTTATTCCTGTAATTTCCTGTAGTTCAATAATCATTTATTTTGTACACCTCACACTGAACCAACACAAAACTATAGACCAAAATCTGAAAATCATGTTTACATGTAGTCATTGTCATGCCTGGGGACATGCATTTTCAAGGGTATTTGTGTATCTTTTTTTATTCTAGGAAATCGTTTCAAGTGAGAGTGGAAAATGTGCATACTTTTGTTTCCAATGGATCTTCATCTCCTCGGTGTAATATTTCATATGGCACTGAAGCATAATGCCCTCCGCAGTGCACTGAATCGACAACTCAGAGGCGCTGGATCCTGTCCAGGTCCAAAAAAGAAGGAAAGAGATCTTAAAATTCACCAACACAGGCTGGTTGGACAAAAAGCTGCATTGCTGTGATTCACCATGTGTTAAAGCTGAGATTCTTTTGCTATTTATGCAAAGATTTTCAAGTAGGCACCCAGCTACAATGAACGAGTGTTTTTCTCTTTAAGATGATCTTTTTACTGTTTTCATTTTATTGTTTTTTGGAAGAAAGAATAAGAATCGTTTTAGTACAATGGAAACTGAAGTGGGTAGAAGTGCAGTGAATTGGTCAACCACTGTGGTTCTCATTAATTGTGTATAAACAAATTTGTGAATCTGATGAAACATACTTTACCTCAAATAAAGCAATAAGCCCCGAGAAGCCGTGGTTTACAGTGAATTTATAACAGCTAAGGGGCATTGTTAGGCACGACGCGAAGCGGATATATATACTAAAAAATATATGCTTTTATAAAACGGTTATTCCATATATGTAGTAAGGTTTCACAGAATAAAACAGAGCAAGTAAAGTGCAATGATATTAATGAAAACATTATTCTTCCGTCAAACAATGTAGTTCCTCAGAATCGGTTGTGGTTCTCAACGGCTCTGGTTCCAACAAAGTGGTTGCCGAGCAACACACAAATGTAAACAAATGTGTATGTTTGTAGAGTCATTTACAACAGCTTCGAACTTGGCTCAACCAATCAGAATCAAGGACCGGAACTATCC